CCAGACCCCCCCCCCTACCTTGGCTGCACTGCAGTCAGCCACCACGTCCACCTTGGGGACAAACTTTGGGAACTCGAGTGCCGCTGGAGAGACAGACAGTGGTCACGGTGCTTTGGGGAGGGAGCCCCATGCTCGCGAGCCGCGGCTGCGGATCCACAGGGATGTCTCACACCCGCCGAAGCGAACCCCACAGCTGCTCAGGATTTCGGGCACAGGAGCAGCTGTGATGCTGGAGGCTTAGTGCAGCTCTCCAAGATATTTTGGAAATGCAGGCGAAAGCATGGACCGCCTGCAGAGCCCAGAGTGGTGAGCAGCTGTGGAGTAACAGCACATGGCAGGGAAATCTGCCCTGAAACCTCCTCATCCTGCTCCAGCACCGTAACCCCTCCACTCCTGCTGGGCATTGGAGTCTATTAGGATGAAATTCAAGCAACTCTCTCTTGCAGCACCCACCCTGCACGCCAGGATGCACCTCCAAGCCAACGGTACTCACGGTCTCTGTATCTGACTCCTACCACATCTTCTGGTTGCTCAGCAGTGCTCAGCAAGGTCAGAGGGCTGCGCTCTGTGGTTTTGCAGAAATTATGAGCTTGTAGATTAGGATCCAACTCATAGAGATGACCTTCAAAAAAATATTCTTGATGGTGAGGGACTATGTTTGTTTGTTTGAAGACAGCATCTAAAAACTTGGTGGTACTGAAACGAAAAAGAAACGAATGGATCTGGGATAAGCAACGAGGCGAGCGCTCAGATTTCCATCGCTTTAACAGCCTGCTGCCCTCTTGTGCCAAAATATCCTACAAGGTCAGCAGAGCCCCTCCGACAGCCTCCCTGGGGCTCTCCGTGTGCCGTGCCGCTGGTTAGTGCGCTCCCCAGCAAAAGCTGGTTTGAACCTGGTTTGGTTTGAACCTGGTTTAGCTGCAGTGCAGAGGGAACGGGCGCTCCCCACCAGGTTCATCCACTGAAACGAGGGGCTGAGGCTCTGAGCTCCGTTCCCAGCTCCGCGTTCAACGCAGCCTTGGCATCCTTACGTGTTGTAGGAGTGGATGTAGACGCGATGGGAGGAAGCCTGCTGCAGGGAGAAGACGTCGACCACGATCCTGTGCAGAATGTCGTTGGTTTCTGCGAAAAACTGGTCGAAGCCCCAGCATTTCTCCTGGTCCACCTCCAGGATGTTAGCCAAGATGGGGATCAGCTGGTCCTTCAGGCCCCTGCAGCAGCAGAAGAGACATTTGCCCAAACTGACACAACCCCGAGCCATGACTGCAGTGACCCGTGGGGCTGGGGAGAGACTCAGCCCCACTCCTGCGGCTCAGCTTTGGCACCGACCGCCCCATTTTGCACCCCCTTTTCCCGGCTGTAAAGCAACAACCTGGTCCGAGAGCTGTGACATCTGCAGATGACACCTCATCTGCCTCGTTAAAGCCCCCTGCCCCGTCCGAGGGAGGATGCCCTCTCCGGCTGTCGTGCCACGACGTGAGACCGGCCGCGGGAGCGGAGCCCGGGCAGGGACACTCACGCGGAGAGCCGGCATGTGACGGGCAGCTCGTAGCTCCACTCGATGCTCCCGTTCTCCTGCCTCTGGATCCCCGCGATGGCTCCGGGAGGCTTCTCCGTGGTGATTTTGTGCCTGTTGAGAGGAAATTGCTCGCAGGTGAGAGGAGCCAAGTGACCTGTGCTTGGGCACTGCGTCCCTCGGGATCAGCAAAGAGGGAAAGGGCAGAGCACGGGTGGGCTGGGAAAGACACGATCCGCAGGGAGAAAAAGAACGCACAGAGGGACAATAGTTCAAGAAACAGTCAAAATCTTCCAAGCAAACATTAACCCTGCCTCCTCTCGCAGCTGTTTAGCCCCAAAGTTTAGCCACGGCCCCACCTCCCCGCACAGCAGCACCCAGCCCTCCCCACTGGACGTGGTACCTACATGACCTCCTTGTTCCTGCGGGGTCCCCCGAAGGGGACGAAGGGGAGGGCGCCGGTGGCAGCGTGGTAGAAGGTGACACCGATGCTCCAGAGGTCGACGGTGACGCCGTACGCCTTCTGCTGCGGCTTGCGCAGGACCGCTCGCTCGTACATGTCCGGGTGCTGCAGGGACGAAGCAGAGAGCAGCACTGCCAACGCGTCCAGCGGGTGGGCAGCGGGCATCGAGCCTCGGGTGCTGGGATTGAGAGCTGACTGCTCGCTTTGGCCTCTTCTACCACTCTTCTACCATGAAACGTCGCCTGTAACTCTACAACAAAAATACTGAGCCCTCCCTCTTCAAAACACGTGGCCCCTGTGACACGGGGCTCTCCAGGTCACTGCTGCTCTCTACAAGTTGCCCAGCCGTTGGATGGAGGGATGGGGACCGGCTTCCCCCAGGACTCCCAGAGGCCACCAGGCTGGTGACACACCATACTCACGAGATATTCCTCCGTCCCATAGACAGAGACAAACTTTTCATCATCATCCAGCTCTCGGGCAGCCCCAAAATCCGTCAGCTTATAGATGCTCTGCCCATCTTCCCCCATCAGCCGCATGATGTTGCCGGGTTTGATGTCTCTGTGGACGATGCCGTTCTCGCGGAGGTGGTTCATCCCCGACACTGGGCACAGGGGGGACAGTGTTCGTGGGGGCTGGAGCAGTTTGTGGGTGTAAATGTAGGAGCGTGAGGGGGTCAGGGGAAGGGGCCAGCCCCAGGGCTGGTTGTACATAAATGGAGAGGATGAGCAAGCACACAGCAGGGCACTGCCCTCGTGCTCCACCGTTGTGGGGCTCAGCCCGTTCCCCCGGCTGCTCCCCAGAGCAGGTCTGCAAGGAGAAACCTCTGCAAGATGAAGCCCTCAGACTCCCCCTGAGAGCAGAGCTCACAACCCCAGCTTGTTCGGAGGTGCAATTCCTCACCGCTCAGCCCAGCCCTCATGTCTGTAGCC